TGGCGGATGACATTCGCTTTGCTGGTATTCTCCGCTATTTCATCTCGATTTTAGGTAAGCGTCGCTCAGACATGCCTCGCACCTTCCATCATCTGCAATCCCAGCGAAAATCTTGTCAACCAAACAAACATGGAGAACGTGGAAGAGTCTAAGACTCAGGCGTGCTATGTCATGTCTAGTGTAGTCACACGTCGAGTGTCTCTGCAATCTCCAGGATATTACCAGACTTCCAAGCCGTATTCGCTCCGTCTACCATGTTCTAGACCGGAACGCCGTTGCCGACCCTTTGATGTCCGTTGATGTTTGCTCGCCTGACGCGATTCTAAAGCAGAAGATGTGTTCAAAATGAAGCAAGAAATTTAAGAGAAAGAAAGAAGCCATTTCCACTTAAACCCTGGCACTGTTGGCATTGCAGGCATACAGTCTCAGGGTCCCTTGCCAGACAACCACAAACACAGATCAGAAACTGACTTGACCGAGGCCTGGAATGCCGGGGAGGCTTGATGGTTTAAGACATGCGCTGGCTCGAACAATCGACGGTCCTAGGTACTCTGTCGTCCTCACCCAAAACTACACATAGAAGTGCCATTTGCTTCTTGGACTCTGTCTCGTCTGGATCAGTAACACATTCCCCAGCTTGACTCGCCTCGATATACAAACCGTGAAACCATTGGATCAGTCAAGTCCCAATCCAACACGCAGACGCTGCCCAAGCCTACCTAGGGCAGCCACTGACAACCTTCACGGTCCAGTGTGTGAGTGTTCACCGCACCTCTCCGCGACCCTGCATTCTGCAGGCTTTTGCCCGTGATGTAGAGGCATGGATGACGGACCCGTGCATTTATCAGTCGAGCCACTTATTTAGCTACTTAGGTAAGGTAGGTATTATCTCGCAGACTCACACACACACCCTTTCCGCACTGTCAGCCAACTACCGGTGCTAGCCAAGCCAAGGGCATCACCAGCACATCCATCCGAGATGCACAAGCTCGACGCGCACTCAAGGTCTTCGTGCGTCAACTGCCACCAGCCCAAATCGAGGCAGGCGCATATGGACTTGTGAAGCCAACCCCCGGCAAAGAGCGGGTCCTCCCCGCCCGGTCTCGGCTCCGGCACGACGATTTCCTTCACCTGCCGAGGATTTCCATTTTCAAGGCTTGGGTTCCAAGGGTTGGTTGCAAGGGCCCAGAGTTGAGGCTGGGAAGACTTTGATCCCTGATGACGTAAGTCCACCGTCTATCCATCCAACTTCAAACCTCCCGCCCAGTGCCACACTACAGTGCCAACAGCCTCTCAGACCGCCAGGTGCGTTCATCGCCCTCACACCTTCGCTTACCTCGCCTCGCCTACCTCGCCTCGCCTTTCACTTCAAGGTTCATTCAGCCTCTTCCAACCCGTTGCGGATACTTACGCGTCCTCCCATCGCCCTCTCGCCCCTCCATATCGCCAGAGTCCCTTTTGCAACAACGACAGCTTGAACCTCGTCTTCCAAGCCTTTCGAGATGGACCCTCTTGAACCCTGTGAACACCGTGAACCCTTAGACTCCGTCCTTCGTTCGTCCTACTGCCTCGCCTTTAGGTATCCTTGCAAATCTCATCTTCGGCTCTGACCGCGAACCACAAGACTCTCTATGGTTGAAGATCAACGGCGGCGCTTCTGCTCCAAACTCACGGCGCCAACAATTCCACATGACACAGCTGAGCGCAATTACGTCGAGGCGTATTTTTCCAAGACACATGGATGAGACATGCATTTCGTTAGATCGCCGAGCAACCCTATTTGCCCACTAGATTCAACCTGTCAGCCCTCTGCACGAATGTTAGTGAACGAAGCTAGTGTCTGATGAGAGACAGTACGGAACACCCAAGCACGCTAGGTTAAGTATCAACTCCAGAGATGCGAGTCTGTTCGGACTACCGACTCTTATACGTATCTACCTATACATCCCCGTACAGAATCTGGGTAATTAGCTGCAGACGCCGTCGTCCGTTCCGGCAATCACATGGTTAGCCTGTCAACCTTGGGTAACCGACCGAGCCATAACACACTCTATGTGTACCACACGCAGGGCACAGGCATGGGCTACGACAGAGTCAATGTTGGGAATTGGAGATTGTTTTGAATTTAACCGTATTTGCGTAGGGCCTCGCTACGGCGAACACGAGTAGGTCACTCATCAGCTTCAAAGTTTCTCAACTTTTCCTTCGTCAACCAAACTCTAATAACCTCAAATAAGCCCGGGGTTACAGACTAAGATCCATCATTCAACGTCCTCAGTTCATGTGCTACGGTGCACGATTGGCACTATGCGCAACCCGGCAGTGAGTCTGGTTGTTCACACATTGACACAGAAAGTGATGGCAAAGCTTTGCTGGCTCTGCCTAAGGGGTCACCTACAGCTCATCAGCCTCGTGAGGGCCAGGGCCCCAGGGGAAGCTTCCTCTTCCCCTGCGCTCTGCCAGACCTTTGTTGACCGCTTTGAGGTTGTTGTACTCAGGTCCGTCCTCGCCCAGGCCCCAAGCGAATACGCCACCGAGTCTTTTGTCGTCGACGAGGGCGGGGAATTTGCGCAGGATGGCATCGGGGGTATCGTACGTCCAGAACCGCTTCTCGGCCCTGTCAAGGTAGTAGTAGCCTCCGCCCTCCTTGTCATACTTGCCTTCCTTCTGAGCTCTCTCGAAAGAGGCTTTTACGTCTTCTTGAACCCCGTCGTTCCAGCTAAAGCCTCCCGTCTGGCCCAGATCCCCACCCGTAACGGGATCCTCCATGAGTGGTGTCGGGCATCCAACCTCTTTGCCCTCGGGGCAATCCGTCGTCTTGAACCACTTGGTATAAAAGGCGAAACCGAGATTGATCTTGTGAGCCGGAACTCCTCTAGCCATGTAGTTATCGACGGCAATTCTGGACAACTCCATGCCTGTGTGGTGCTTGGTCACATTATCGCGGCGGTTCATCATGTCGTAGGTCATGACGTTGACAAAGTCGAGACTGCGTACGATACGAGGGACCGTCTCTTTGTTGAAGGCAATCATGTCGCGTTCAAGACCTGGAGTCGCGGCCGAGATGAGCTTGCCCTTGGGGAGCTGCCTGCGGACCTCCTCAAGCAGCAATGGGTATGCCTCAATCTCCCACTTCTTTTTCTCGTTGGTGCTGTTCTCAACCTTGTAGTCCTCGCCATTACCGCTGGATTGTGGTTTAGTAACTGTCTCTGCTGCGGCTCTTGGTAATGGCCACAGGTATAGTGATTGAAGCTCACCCAGGGTATTCCCAATCCATATCAATACCGTCAGCACCGGTTGCCTTGACCATGTCGGCAACATTCTGGGCCCACTTTCTTCGCGACTCCGGGGTGCGAGCAGCGGTATCGAAGCCCTTGGTGTCACTCCAGCCGCCAATGGCGACCATAACCTTGGTGCCAGGCATGAACTGAGTACGGACCTTATCGACGGTGGTGAAGAGGGGCCACTCGGCCACGTCCTTGTTGAAGGTGTCCGAGTTCATGAAAGCCAGCTCCACGTGGGTGATGTGAGACACAAGCTCTCTAGAGGGGACGTTTGGGTGTTGGCTGTGGCTTGCGTTAGCGGTTCATGTCCGTCTACCTTAGTCACCTACTCAAGCCGCCTTGTGATGAGTGTTAGTAGAAGCTATTCACTTACCCAGTGAGATACATGACGCATTTGAGATCGGATGCAGCCCTTTCGGCGGTCTCTTGGGCGGAGGCCATTATGGCGGACTGCAAAAGTATGAGCAGACCGCCCAGAGCGGTGGACAGTAGCTTCATGTCGGTGCCAGCGTTGTAAGGGAGGTGGCTTCGAGATGTGCAAACTCTCACAGGACGCGGGCATGAGCTTGGAGACGAGGGATGAAAACAAAAGATGAAAGGGCGTGGCTTAGAGATAGGTAGTCAAAAAGATGGGCAGCAGACTTCAACGCAAAGGAACAAGCCAAAGACGGGCGAAACAAAAGAGAAGGAGAAACGGCAGGTGAATCAGCTGCCGGGTGTCCGATGTTTCCTCAACTTCCTCTTTCCGCCGGGATCTTCTCGGTGCAGGAACCCCGCTGTGGCGGATGCGCCCTACCACGGTGCTCCAGTAGTGTTTGGCGGCATTGGCGCACCTGCTTGCCGGGGGGATAGACCCCGCAGCAATTAACCTTAAGACGACGGGACGCTCTTTCCAGGACCGTAGAGGGCGAGCAGATACGAATATTCGTAAGGTACCTTACCTTACCTTACGTACGGAGCAGATACCTACGAACAACTTCATGGACTAGAAGGCACTCTGAAAACAACAAGATACGTACCAGGAATGACCTTAGGACTCACAGTTCCAGGTTTCTCATCTCATTTCAGAAAGCTTGACCAGTGCAGCAAATGGAAAATGATGCATATCATCAATCTTCATTCCATCCGAGCCTCGAATGTCTGCGCCAGTTCAGTTGGTGACTTTTCCGGTGGGAGAGTCTTCAAGTCGCCGGCTTACCACAACGACCGGCTGGTATGTTGCAGCGGAGGGAACCCGACCAACTCGAATGTAACTTTGATGCGGGTGGACGAACCTATTCGTGATTACTTGCCAGCCTTGCCAGCCCAAGGTTCCTACCCAGGAAGGTAAGACATCCCAACTACCCGATCTCTTAGGCTGTTTGGAGCTGGGAACAAAGAGACACGAAACCGAGCGCTCGGGTATTGTGCGTTTTGCAGCTTCCAAACAGGTTGAACAGGTCTTTCCCGGTCCGTTCTTCACTTTGAGCAGGAACAAGGTCTGGGCTTCGGTGAGAGCTCTAGTGGGGTACCCACATCGGTGAGCTCTTCACCTCGAAAATTTCATCCCGCCGCCAGCCTGCGCGTGTCTAAGTCAGCTACCTCTCCCATCACTCAGCTTCCTTCCTATTTCGACATTTAGACCGCCTCAACTTGGGTCCCGACGGCCTCCTTTGCACATTGTTACAGCTGGTCCTTCTGCAACGGAGCTTCATCTGCCCAATTGATGCAGCAATCATGTTTGAGAACCTCTGCACCCTCCCCCTCTCCGCCGAGGTCTTCACCCAGGTCCTCCACCCTACCGAGCCGCTACTGACCGTTGGCTTGTCTACCGGCCACGTCGAAACCTTCCGTCTCCCTTCCTCCGGCGACAACGATTCTGAAGCTTCCGACGAACCCGATACGAGCATAGCATCAAGCGGTCGTGGGGCTATCGACAGCGTCTGGCGCACAAGGCGTCACAAGGGAAGCTGTAGAGCCCTGGCATACAGCCACGATGGTTCTGGTACGTAGATATGCGCCTAATGCGCTACAAAGATCAATCGGATTTTCTCTTCCAGACCCCGGCTGACTTGTCTTGTTTGAATTGATAGCCCTCTACTCCGCCGGCACTGATGGCTTGATCAAGCACTTCTCCCCGACGACCGGCAAGGTCATCTCTAAAGTCATCATCCCTTCCTCGAATAAGCAGATCGACGCCCCGACACTCATGCACGTTCTAAGCCCCCAGAGCCTCCTTCTCGGCTGCGACTCCGGAGCTATGCACATATTTGACCTGCGGGACGGCGTCCCCTCGGCCAAGCCTGCTCAGACACACTTCCCTCACTCCGACTACGTCTCTGCCATCGTTCCGTTGCCTCCTTCCGCCGAGAGCACCTCTGGCTTCTCGAAGCAATGGGTGTCTATTGGTGGAACGACGCTCGCTGTGACAGATGTGCGCAGAGGCGTTCTTGTCCGCTCCGACGACCAAGAAGACGAGCTGCTATCTGCTGTCTACGTCCCCGGCCTCGGCCCCAAGAACAACAGGAACAACGGTATCGTCGCTGTCGGATCCGGCTCCGGGGTGGTCACGGTCTGGGACAAGGGTGCTTGGGATGATCAACAAGAACGCATCATCGTCGACGGCGGCAAGAGCGGCGGTGAGAGTCTGGACGCTCTGGCCTTGGTCCCTGAAGAGCTCGGGCTCGGGAAGAAGCTGGTCGTCGGCCTCGGTGACGGTAGCCTCCGGGTGGTGGACTTGGTAACTAGGGAGGTCGACAAGTCCCTGAGTCTCCGCCATGACGACGTTGAAGGTGTCATTTCCGTTGCCTTTGACTCTCAGAATCGCCTGATAACTGCCGGCGGTAGGACGGTCAAGGTATGGGAGGAGCTGTCCGAGCTTCAAGGCGAGCCCCAAGGCAGTGACGAGGGTAGCGACAGCGATAGCGATGACGAGACCTCTGGCAAGCGCCGGGCAGACAGCGATAGTGATGATGATAGCGACAGTGATGACGATTCAAAGCCACGAAGCAAGCGCCAGAACACGGGAGCCGACAAGCTTGGCCCCATGGGCGCGCACGGCATTCTAGGCTTTGACGGTTTGGACTAGACTGATATCTTTACATTTACTTCAAATGATACCCTCCGGTGCCGTCTGTAGAAAAGGATGAGCCATTCAAGGAACCATTTCAACACTCTTGTATCTTAATGATGCAGTGACTTCTACTCCTGGCGTTCTGGTGTCCTGGGAGATCTTTGCCTTTCGGAGTAAGAGAGCGAGCATGGCCTGACGGCAGTTGGCGGCTTCATCAAAAGAATTAGAGGGCTTGGAACTGTGTGACGAGATGCTTCTTCCGCCCACGTATCGGCCCAGCTGTCGATTGCCGACCCCCAACGCCGGGCCCGGAACTTGGGTGACCTCCGCAGCGGTCGGACCCCGCTCCCCGCCGATGACAAACGACTGACAGAATGAACGGCAAGCTTCCTGTATAAACGCACTTGCCTATATCTTCCTTCATGACATGCATCAGAATTCGTTCCCCTAATACTACACAGGCTCTGAATATCTACCGTTTGCTATGGACACCATAAATTCCTTTGTCTTTGGCATCACCACCCCCAAGGTTTTTTTCGGGCCGGGCACTGTCAATGAGCTACCCGGCGAACTCCAGTCCCGCAAGCTCTCGAAACCTCTCATCATCTGCTCCCCGTCTCGGAATTCTCTCGCAAAAAGGATCCTGGACAGCTTGAAAGAAACAGGCTTTTCAGACGTGGAAATTCTCGATACTGCCATTGTCCACAACCCGAGCGACATCATCGGTCCCGCCGTTGAACGAGCACAGGGCCGCGATGTTCTCATATCAGTCGGAGGCGGCAGTGCCGTCGGTCTAGGAAAGGCAATTGCTCTTCGCACTGGCATGCCACAAGTGGCTATTCCAACAACATACTCGGGCTCCGAGATGACACCCATCATCGGGGAGACAAAAGATGGAAAGAAGACGTCAACAACAGACTCCAAGATCTTGCCCAAGGTGGTCATCTACGACATTGACCTGACCATGGATTTGCCGGTAAAAGTCAGCGGTCCAAGTGGTATCAACGCTATGGCGCACTCATGTAGGCCGCCCATCCCAAGGTTACATCTTAAGCAGGGACTGAGATTTGATCTAGTTGAAGCATTATACTCCCGCCAGGCTAGCCCGCTGACAGACCACTTTGCTTTGGAGTCCATCAGGGCACTGTCGAGTGCCCTACCAGTGATTGTGTCAGACCCCTCCTCGGTCGAGGCACGTACCTCGGCCCTGTACGGCGCGTTCCTGGCTGGCTTGTTGGCGGCGGCAACCGGCATCGCGCTACAGCACAAGCTGGCTCACGCGGCCGGCGGTGCTCTGAATCTCCCTCACGCCGAGACACACTCGATCTTCCTGCCGCATAGTATGGCGTTCAACGCGCAGGCCTTTCCCGAGGCCACTAGGACCAAGCTCTCCTCCGCTCTCGCGCAGAGTACCGAGGACTCGCCTGCGGGCATCGTAGCTGGCTTGAATAAGTTACTTCGGGTCCTGGATATCTCCACGGGCCTCAAGGATATCGGTATGCAGGAGAAGGACATTGACCGCGTTGCTGACGTGGCATCCGATAAGCCTTATTGGAATCCCCGTCCTCTGGAGAAGGTTACGATTCGTGAAATCATCCGCAGAGCGTGGGCTGGGGAGCAGGCACAGACTGATCTTTAGACTCGATTGAATTGGATTCATTCTATTTGTCTTTTTTCTCCTTCTCCTTCTGCCATTTACATGCTTCACGCACCGGGTCTCGAGTAGTCCAACGTTCTTACTCGCTTCCACGTCTCCCGCACTACTCTTTCCTGCGCCTCTCGTGCCGTCTCGGTCTCGGTCGATCCTGCGGGTCTGCGTAGTGTTAGCAATGTCTAGTATTCCGCCCGAGGGCTCGACGAACCGGATAGCGAGGTAAAGTCTGCCGCCGAGCTTCGCTTCTGGAACGACGCTCGTGTCTTCGGGAGGATTGGCTATTGTTACAAGACCACCGGCCTCCTCAAGAATCGCGAAGCCTGCAGCAACGTCCCTGAAGCAGTTGTGTCAGTTCCCGTGCCTTGTTGAGTCTGTGATGGTCAGGCTGTCTCACCATTCCCAGCATCCGCCCTCCCACCAAATGTCAAATGATCCCATTGCTGTGTATGCCAGATCCAGAGTAGCACTATATCGTCAGCGAGAGTCCCCATCCAAGCCATACCACGCAGTAGACGTGTTCGAACTCACCTTCCCAAGCTCCTCATGCCATGCACCATGCCACCCTTGCCACCGCGTCCCTTACGCTCGGCAGCCATGTTCATGAAGCTCTCGACCTTGCGGTGCATGTTGCCGTCCGGTGTGTCTCGACGATCCTTGCCCCATTCGCAGGAGAAAACGCAGCCGCTAGGCGCATTGGCGGGCAGTGGGTTTAGAACGAGCGGCAGCCTCTGTGTCTCGTTCATCCACGCACCATGTCCCTTGAGCGACGAGAACGTCTGGTTCAAGAAGGGGGCGTTGATGACACCAATGACGGGCTTGCCCTTGATAGCGAATCCGATGGAGACGCAGAACATTGGGAACAGGTGGGTGAAGTTGACGGTGCCATCGAGGGGGTCAACAATCCATGTCGGCCGTTCGTCGACAAGGTAGTCACGCGATGCGCCAGCCGAATATGTCTCTTCGCCGAGAAAGCTGCAAGCTTATCAATATCAGACTGTCCGAGACGTTACAGAGTCGAGGCTATCGGGTGAGTCGACTCACTTGTGGCTGGGATACTTCTTTGCGACGGATGTGTGAATGAAAGCTTCAACTTCTAGGAGCGGGCACCGTGCTGTCAGCAAGAAACAGGTTTCCTCAACGCGCATTGGGATATCGGCAGATGCAGAGTCAACGCACCTGTGTCTGTCTTGGTCACCAGATCAACCGAGTTATCCTTTTCTGTGAATGCCTGCGTCTCGCCTCCGGATCCCCATCTTGACTTGGCCGCCGTCATGAGCATCTCTCCCGCCTCTTTGCCCAACTGGATGGCAAAGTCGTAGATTTCGCGGAGCTCGGCGTCGCTAATGTCGGCCATTCTGACGGTTTTCTGTGATTCGTTTGGCCTACGACTGGAAAGATTGGTGGACAAGCTGTACGGTAAAGCTAGGAGGAGAGCAAGCCAAAAAATGGAAGAGTCAGATCAGAGTCAGAGAGAGAGTTGTGTGAAACTGCGAGAAAGAGCAATAGGCAACGAGACAAGCTGTCCGCAGTCGGCACCGGGCTCACCTAGCTTGCGTTATCAGAGCACCTAGGCTGCAAATCGGTGGTGACTCGACGGCTGGGCCGCCGCCAACCGAAGAACGAGCCACTGCGGAAGCACAGCGGATGACGTCCGGTGCTCTTTCAGTGGGACATCCCCGCATAGGACCCCGCCTCAAGAGCCCAAAGATGGTCCCCTGGGCCGCTATCCGGATCCTTAGAGGGCAAGGAATACTGCCAAAAAGTCCATTACTAAGGCTGGTGGTGGACTTCCGAGAAAGGAGGGGCACTCACTCACATCTCTCAGACAATGTCACCTTGAGTGCTCCAGGATGAGTGGAAACGGAGAAAAACACAAAGAGGGATGGCCTGGATCTTATGTGAAACCACACGGCGGTCAATATTCAGACGTGTAAGCATTGGCATAGCTCCTGTGTTGGCAGATTCTCAAAAGTTGATGAAATGTGAAGACAAAGACTCATCGTACTTCGAATCTGAATGTGGAAATTCATCCAAGTCGATTGACTATTTATCAAAAACTCATTAATCGAGCTCATCTCAAGACTAATACATGATAGAAACGATTCGCCGGACCCTCTGCGTCAATACTTTGAAGTTTCTCTTCTGGAATTCAACAGTCTGAAGAGCCGTTATTGACAACTAAGGCTCTATAACTAGGTTCATGCATCACACATCCTAGGCCTAGACGTCTCAACTATTGTTGAGGTAGGAAACTTCATGGGGTCACGCACATGGAATCGAAAGGGAGGGGCCAATGTTGGTCTGGAGACTTCAATATGATTATTGTTTAAAAAAGAAAAAAAGAAACAGTAGTGTAAATACTATACAATCGCTATGTAAAATGTTCATTCTTCATGTCGTCCTCTCCCCTCATAGTGACGCCGTAACCTGTGCTGATGGCTCTTCTACTCTCAGCTTCATGTCTCTCACGAGCTTAGACCAAGCGACGGCTCCTCTCTTTGCTAGTTCCTCGGGGACACCGTGGTCCTCCTCTGACATTCTCCTGTTGAACAGCTCAAAGCTGACCCAGCCCTCAAAACCGAGACCCTGGAAAATGGCGGCGCAAAGCTCCCGGACGGGAAGATACGCGCCTCTTGAATACTCGCCATAGAATAGACGGCAGTTTCTTGACCAAGACATGCGGTGCGGCTGCTCGGCGTTGTAGTAGGGGTGCGTTTCGCAGATAGGCTCGGCGAGGCGCTCAGCGTCGACGACCTGCACGTAGATAATCTTGGAGACATCGACAGTCGTGAGCAACCGTTGGATAGAGTCTTTGACGGCTTGCTCGGCATCGACGACCTTTCCGGAAGCTGCTGTGGGGTCCGCAAAGATGCGACCCGCAATGTTGAACGTATCGAGGCACATGCCAAAGTTGGGCCGGTCGACCCGTTGAATCACCTCCCAGCAGGTTTCCCAAACATCGACTCTCGTTCCCCATGAGAGAGACTCGTATGAGAACTGGATAGGGGGGTTGGACGCCGCACCAATGTCGGCCACTTCAGCAAGGTCGGCAATGTGAAGTTCAAGATCGTCAGAAACCTGCTCGGCGGGCAAGACGTTGCTGGGAATCTGGATCAGATCTGTGCCGAGAACATGGGCAAGCTGGATCCAAACACGTAACTCCTCGATGCGGCGGGCGTGCTGCTCACGGTCGATGAGTCCCTCAAAGTGTTGGAAAGGCTGAAGGCAGATGATCTCGATGTTGCGGATGTCGCACATCCTCTTAACAATGCCAGCAGCGGCGAGTTGGTTGTCGATCAAGGCAGCACCGCCAGGCAACTGCTCGGCAACGTCCATGAGATCCTCGTGCCAGAGCTCGATGCCCTGGTAGCCATACTTGGCGGCCATGTCCATCTTGTGCTCAAAGCTGTGGCCTGCCCAGCATCGGCCGAGCGACATTGTGCTGATTCCTAACCGGGAAGGCATTGTGATTGTGTGTGAGATGTGAGGTTGGCGGCGATAGAATAGCAAGGGGTATCAAAGTGCTAATGGAATGCGAAGACAACACAAGGCAATTCGATTAGATGGTGGATGTCTTTCTGGTATTGAGAATAGTAAGATGGACTTAGAAGTAGGATGAAGGGAGTACCTGAGTCTAAAGAGGCGGACGTCTACTGGTATACATTTGCCCTCGGCAGCAGGGGGGATCGGGAAGATTATTTGCAGCTCTCGATCCCCGTATCTAAGCAGAATGGCATTGACAGACCCATACGGCAACTCTGTCGCAGAGAACGGTAGGTGGCTTTACCCAATGATCTCGTCTGCTGCCATACTGTATCCGGGTCACACCGGACGCCCGAGGGGCGATGGAGGGAGAAGGAGGAAAGTCATTCACCCGCCACCTACCCCATCTTATCGGCGTCAGATGTTTGCAAGCATACCGATCTGGGGATTTCTGGGGCGCCCGAGGGTAGCCGAACCAGTCTGAGTGACGCTCTGCAGCACGTCAACACACCCCGAGCCTGCGGTAGCGGGATGTACGATGCCCATTACCAAGTGTGGTGGTTGAACCAAGACGTGGGAAGCTCGACTGACAACTGGTGACGCTGAACTTGTCAGGCGCCGCCGGTTGTCAGGAAGAACACTTCTCCAAAGTGGAGGATAAACATTCTCCAGACTGGCACTCGGATGGGTGGGAGCACCAAGCGAACAGGGGGGCGGGCGTCTTTGGTGTCGTATGCCCACCATTCCGAGGCCCAGACTGTCCGGCACTTCTCACTGGCTGTTGACTGGAGAGTTCTTTGCCGGAAGTTCCTCTCAGAAATCGCGGCGAAATGCCGATGGGAAAAGCCCTGATGCGGATTCCACGCAATCTTGAGAAGCCCGTTCTAGTGCCCCGGACTTTTCCCCGTATTCCGCAAGAATGATTAATTCGATACAGCTATCATTGGACCAACGAGTCTCCATTTGGAGACAAGAAGAAGGGAATAAGAGAGAGGCACAAAAAGTGGCTTCCGTTAGACCCCATTTCCCCCCCCCATTTTCTGCGGTTGACAATTCCCACCGGATTTTAGACTAAAAAGAGCCCTGGTTTTCTCCATTTGTTGCATCTTGCCATAACGCCATTCCTACCGTTCTTCAGTCAGATGCACAGCAGCCTTGCAGATACCATTCGAAACTACCAAACAAGAGAGACAGAGACGACCAACCCTTGATCCCACCCCCAGTATCACTCACTTTCTTAAACTCAACCAACTCACATCAAGCAACAATGGCCAGTGTTGCCCCCATCGAGCAGGTGGAAGACACTATTGCGGTCAAGATTGAACAGCTTGACCGCCACGGGTACCTGTTTGGCCAAAAGATTACACATTCCCTGTCACCACTCCTGCACACCACCATCTACGAGGGTATTGGCCTGAAATGGGAGCAAATGAGACTGGACTCGGCAGATCTGCCGCTGTTCCTGGAACTCATCAAGCATCCCAAATTCTACGGCAGCTCAGTCACCATGCCCAATAAGGTTGCCATCATTCCTCACCTCGACGAGCTGACGGATGAGTGCCGCGATGTTGGTGCCTGCAACACACTTTTCATCAGAGAACGCGACGGCAAGCGGATATATTGCGGCACCAACACCGACGTTATCGGCGTCCGTGAGTCTTTTGTCCAGAACGTCACCGATGCGGATGCCGTCTACCACAACAAGCCGGCTCTGGTCATCGGAGGCGGCGGTGCGGCCAGAAGTGCCGTTTACGCTCTGCGCAAGTGGATGAAGGCCACCGACATCTACCTCGTCAACCGTGACAAGAGCGAGGTCGACGCAGTCATCGAGGAGTGCTCCGCGCGGGGTTATGGAGACAATCTGTATCACGTCTCCACCGTCGAGGAGGCGAGAGACCTTGAGGCCCCCGGCGCTATTGTGGCTTGCGTGCCCAACTTCACTCCCAAGACACCTGAGGAAATTGTGGCGCGTGAGATTATCGTCGAGTTCCTGAACAAGGATCGCAAGGGTGCTATTCTTGAGATGTGCTACAACCCTACGCCTTACACAGAAATCGGTGCCCTTGCAGAGGATGCCGGCTGGCAGGTCATTTTGGGCACTGAGGCCATGATCTACCAGGGTCTTGAACAGGTCAGTCAATACACAGCTTGGGCTTCACCCTTTTAATACACATCTCTAACAATTAATAGGATCGATACTGGACTGGCAAGAAGGTCGACGAACTTCCCGTACAAAAAGTAAAGGAGGTGATTGCGGCAAAGCTCTCACAACATTCAAAACTGTAAAAAGAATAATGATCACCATAGACGCCTTGCATAGCTAGATTCTCAGCGATTGTTTTAACAGAAGAAGATGACTTTGATGAAGATTCTTGAAGTTCTATGGTTTGATGATGAAGCTTTGAGCTCCTACCTCGGTGGCTGCAGGGCGTTTATTCGACAGGTTAGGATTGACCTCGTGCAAGAATTCGTAAGTATTCTCCTGACCATCTATGCGTACTCCGTACAAGCCTTTCACAATTTCTTAGTCAACCTGATCTGGACTTATGCCCTGCGTAGCGCCATTGGTGCTAGGTCAGACGGTCTTTGTCCTTTCAATGCAAACTGGCATAACAAACACCGAGCGGGAACTAATAACCTGCCGGGTAAGAACTCTCCCACGAGCTGGCACACACTTTGCAGATCCCTACACTTCTCCACCTAAAGCCTGTCCTTGTGATCTTGCCTGAGCGGCGGATCAGCGTAACCGCTGAGCCCAGGGAGTATCCGTACGGATACGGATAGTGTCTTTTGAAATGTTGCACCGTCCACGAAAACCGATTTAGCACTGGAGAATGCCACCAACTCGTTCAGTCCCAGTATCCCACTGGAAGAAGTCTTATCATGCGTTCGCATTTTAGCTACAGTGCAGCGCCGAGATCTTCAAGCGAGGATTGAAATCCACTTGGGATAATGATCCGTACACATGTCAAACCATTCGCTTTTGCTGCATCTGTGATTTTCAAGCCTACTTACTCACGCTTGGCACAATGAAATGATATTAAGATGCACAACGAGCGAGAATGTTTGATGCAATTTTCCAGCGATTGGAAAACAAGTCGATTCTTCACGGAAACAGAGAAACCAACTCAGTTATCATGCTTGGATATTCATCAGCCGTATTCTGAGTAAGTGCTTCGATATCGTTTCCCGGACTATCAATAGACAGTTCCCCTCCGAGCGTAATTAGAACTCAGTAAATTATGTTTCTCGCCATGAAATGTTGACTTAAGCACAATTACGCTAGATTTTCGAATCTAGGAAGATTTCTTGTGCAGGCATGGCTTTATCTTCATAGTATGTATGAAGACGATGAGATATATCGTAGGCACCGGGACGAAAACATTACGGATGATATAAGTTCTCCTACAGGAAATACGTTTCCACCTCCACCCTGGATAATAGTGGACAGAAAGCTCTCGTCTCCAGAGAATAGACCGACGGCGAGTCGTAACCCTTGGTCTGTAACTGTACCGTGCATATACATTCCGAGTTTCAGTAACATTTACCCGGCGAGCGCTCTTATCTTCGTAAGCCGCAAATTACCCCTGCACTGTCAGTCTTCTCGTACCACAATTGAGTCTGAGAAGGCTCAGATGGGATCATTCTCTCCACGCCGTGCATACGAAGCATGATCAGGTTTTGCGAAGTACATGTACAAGATGTCTCGCGTATTGTAAGGCCCATTATTGCCTGGGAGCTGGAAGAGTATTTGAAGTCGTCTTTTCCAGCTCTGGTTTCTCTCGAGTTGTTCGACCTTGATAACCCTTTTCTTGCGCCAAGGGGAACAAGCAGTTACGGATACAAAAGCACCAAGACAGTTTGCCAAACGACTTGCCACCACGATCGAAACTATCTGCCCTGCCATGACAGCCAAGAGCGGGACTTAGCTTACTTTGCTTATTACGCCTCATGCAGCACCTCGGCTTGGCATTGGTATCACCCTGGTTCGCTTTCCTTCCTCCCGTCCGTCTCAACTCTCAACGCCGTCGCTCGCTCTAACCCCGCTCTTGCATAGACTTGCACTTGTACTTGTGTCTCGAATGTGACTCGATGACTCGCTTTATGGGTCACTTGCGGGATCGGCTCGGTATGGAAGCATGTGAATTCCTAGAGACTGGAATCTTGGAATATCCACCTAGCTGCTCTAACCATTCAAATGTCCTTCATATCATATTAGTAAACCGTGAACCTATTCATTAAACGCTGTCCTTCCTCTCTACCTGGTTGATTTCCGCATCATCAGACTTCTCTCCGGATCCATCGTCCGAGTATTGTCTGAAGCCCTGCTCATCCGCTAACTCGGCCATGATGGTCTTGTTTGCCCGCCAGACAGGCTTAATTGTGAAGAGACGGTCCATGGTCTCCAAAGGAATGGATTTGGTCTCAGGCATCAGGAAGAAGATGAAGATGGCGGAGCAAATCATGAGCGAGGCGAAGAAGAAGTAGACTCCATAGCCCCACGCATTAAACATTTGCGGTGTGAAGCGAGAGATGATGAAGTTCCAGAACCAGTTATTGGCAGCTGCGCTAGCCTGGCCGAGGGATCTGAGAGTACGTTAGTGACTTTGCCACCGAGGACCTGATGCAGATTTCAACATACCTAGTGTTCTGGTCGAACATCTCAGAGTTAATGACCCAAGGGGTACCGTTCCACGAAGGCGTGTAGAACACTGTCCAGAGGTAGAAGAATACCATGGCGGAAATACCGCCGCCGGAGAGACCGCCACCGTTTCCAGATGCCGGGTTGAGAGCAAGGTAACCGCCAATATACCACATGCACAAGGAGCCGCCAATAGCACCAATCATAAGCAGGTTGCGACGACCAAGGTGGTCAATAAGCCAGAGGAGCCACACGAAGGTGACAATCGTCTTGACGACACCGAAAATGCCAGTTGTAAGGAAGCTGGTGTTGGTACCGGTGATGCCAATGCTCCTGAAGACCGTGGGGCTGTAGTAGTTGATAGCGTTGATACTGGTGAGAGCTGTGTTAGAGACTCGTATATAGCTTGATATTCATGGGGGTTTGCTCGCTTACCCAGAGCCGTTTTGCCACAAGAAAAGCATGCCACCAAGGAAGAAGCGCCACTGGACCTTGCTTTGCTTGAGAGAAGCGAAGGGCTTCCAGAAACCGGCACCAACTTCCTGGCGGTAGCGTTCGAGGTCGGCATCAATGTATTGAACCTCCTCAATGATGTACTTGTCTTCAGGGGACAGGTTTCTGCGAGAAAGGATTGGTCAGCCTGAGGTCATTAGCGAAATGATAGATTGTGGGGCACATACCGCATCCAGCAAAGAGCCTTCATCGCCTCCTCTCTCTTGTACTTGGAGAACAGCCAACGGGGGGACTCCGGGATGAAGAGAGCTCCGACGAGCAAAAGGCCGGCAGGAATCAGCTGAACGGCGAAAGGAATGAGCCACTGGCTGTGGCTGGGAGCCATGGTAGAATCGACACCGTAGTTGATCCAGAAGCCGACGAGACCACCGATTTGCCATCCAAGTTCGTAGATACCGACGAGACGTCCACGCACAGCGGGAGGGGAGAGTTCCGAAATGTAGATGGGAGTCATGTTGGAGCAGCCGCCCACACCGACACCCGCAAGAACTCTGCCAGCAAGGATGAGGCTGAGGCCGCGCTCGCGGTTGGCGCCAAGCATCATGCCGGCGCCGAGGAGGAAGACTGTAGTGAAGAGCATCAAACTCTTCTTGCGGCCGAGGAAGTAACTGCTGACGTAGGCGAACAAACTTCCGAAGAAGGCACCGGCCTGGTAGACAGAAACGATGTTGGACTTAAGCAGAGCCAGACCGTCCTTGCTGTAGGAGGCAAACTGGAACTCCTCCATGAAGGAGGGCAGGGCGAGGGTGGTTCCGATGAAGGCAGAGTCATAGCCGATGGTGCAACTGGCGAAAGACGCGATGATTGCGCAGAAGTAGACGCGCCAGTTGTACACCGCCTTGGGCGTCGGGCGATCCTCTACGAGAGTGAGGAGAGCCATGGTGATGGTTGGGTAGGAGGTGTCTGGCGGTTGTTGGTGTTCGAGGCGAAGTTGAGACCGTCTGAACTCCAAGTCTTAGGTTGGGGTTGAAGAGTCAAGAGTCTTAAGGAGCGACGGAAAAAAAATCAGATTACGACGGTCCAGGGTTGCCTTTGTTATATGGATGCGTCAGGGCTCTTTGGCTCTCCAACAACTTGGTAAAGACTGACTGACAGGTGGCGCACGTATCGGTTCGTCTGGGGTAAAGTCTGGGGGTCTGGAGCTGCGGAGTTTGGGTCATCCCACGGGGAGGGAATCGAGCGGCTGGACCGTGGACGAATGGTATCTGGGGTACGCTACACGTACAAACTCGCTCATGCGTCTGGAGATTCCGGAATGTTGACTCTGGGGTGAACGCTTCTCCCTCCACCTAGAAGGTTGTTGGACTGGCGCGCCGTCTCCGAACCGGAGCAAAATCTGCAACCTATGACTGACTCGTTCTCCATAACGCGTGGAGCCCGGCAGACATGTTCTTCTCCGCACCAACTATCTGTTTCCGAACTAGATCCAATCTCATAGACCCCCAAATGCTGGAGAACCCCTGCTCAGACCGGGGCTGTGGGTTGAATGTTTATCCTGTAAGCGCCTCTCTATTGCCATTCGACTGTCTCGCATTGCACGTGGACGTCGTCCGACGTCCCAACTTGTGCCAATCCCAACCCAGCGGAATGACAGCAATGCGGGTGAAGAGCCTGTTCCCCAACTTTCGCTGCCTGTGTCCGTACGCAGATATGGGGAAGATGCCTGGCCTACGGGGTGCATGCTGTGACTGTCAAGTGGGCAGGGGCTCAAATCAGGTTGTTGGCAGATACGCCAAGGTGGAGTTGAGAATATCCGGTCGAGATACGCCAACCAAGCCACCGGGACGGTCTCCAAGGCCTGGCCACATGATTATTGACCACGAGTCCACGACAACTCAACTCACTCGGACTGTACGATTACATTGTCCTAGGAGGTAGTCGCTAGCGGAGACAACCTCTCAACCCTGCCACCATCGGCCGGATGATAATTCTTTGCCGCCAAGGACTGTGATTTCTTGGTGTTGAGGATGTCCCACTGTGATGAAGCAAACGGGCTCAAGACATGACTTGTTCGTGATTGCAATAGGGGCAAATGGGTCTCTCTACCTGACTCTGAGATGTTTCCAGGCCACGCGGATGCAGACAACAAAACCTCGCATGCATCATCTTAACCTTAAGTCTCCGCATTGAAAACCCCCACGAGGACAGCTTCGTCGCCACAAAAATGGTTCTCGTTGGTACCTATAGACTTGGTACGTGCCATCGAACAATCGGAGTGGAGGCATGCCGGGGCACATTCGTAGGCTGTGCTTTATAATGACCTCCTGGCCACAATTCAACAGCTAAATTAGGGGACTGACAGCCTGGCGATTCCAAATTGCTGTGGTAAAACATTGTGCTTCTGTGAGATGGGTGAATGCGGCACTTGGCGTCCAGTCCTGTCCCTGATGATTGTAATTCCGTCGCAGCCTGCTCTTCACTCTGCCGGAGCTAACTCCCTAAAGTCCTTGTGAGTACATGTAAGAAGAGGCCAGACCCCATACTCTTGTCGGCGGCGCAAGAGGGTCAACAAATAAGAGAGATAAGCCAACTGGAATTTCTTCAGGGAAAGAGACGAAAATGGCTAGACAGTCCGGATGTACAAATCACTGCTCTTAGCGTGGCCCGCCCTGGATGAACACTTCTTCGTCACACCGCAAGACTTGTCTGCTAGCATTGCTGCATTTGTTCGTTGGAACAGGGAGAACAAGGAGATAACAGTGCGGTGCAGACAGTATTTCCAGAGACTGGATTCAATGTTCATTTTCTACTAAAGGTCATAATACATTATACTTCTCTCACATCCCCCCATACTCCCCCCGAAGCA